CATCTATATAAATCTGTCTTATAAAAATAATGTCTACATTATTTTTTTTATAAATCTGTTTCTTTTTGTCTTTTTTTTTCTTTATTAGACTTCTTAATTTAGTTTTATTTGATAGTTTTATTGTCGTAAGTCTTTATTATTATTTTGTAATTGTTACATGAAACACACGTGCGAAGCACATGCTCAAAAAGTAGTAAACAATATAAGTCTCATCATTGTAAATGAGATAAGCGATATCAAATGAGTACATAAGAGAACATGTGAAATACTACTAAGTTTGACATAAGCCTTTTTTACTCATAGATGTGACTAGATCAAACCCATATGTCATAAATGAAATCTAAAAACTCAATGACATCAAAAAGTAATAAAGCAGTCCATAGCCTTGCTCTCAAAATATGAGGATTCACCAATCCAATTTGTAGTAGAGCAATCTCTATCTATCCACATCCAAGAGGAGGAACGTTGAATCCTACATTATGAAACAATACAGACACATTGTGCATCAGTACTTTGATAATAACGAGTTAAGTGAAATACATAAATCGTAGGCATGATATTTGATGAACTTGATCATGATGTGCATGACAAAGTAGGATGTTGTAAAATCCTTTAAAGAGGATCATGGTTCATGACAAGGTCAATGCATATTGAAAATCTTAAAAATGCTCTAAAAGACTTTTGAAAAAACATAGCTCATTTGCGAGATATTTGTTGTTAACCGACAATAAGACTATGTCATCTATAACATAAAATCCAATGTAACCTTAACACCAAAAATATAGAAGCCTTTTTTCCAAGTTAGAAGTCTATATCATTCATTATTTATAAGGTGGATCCACTAGCTAGGTCACTTAAGACAATTCTACGGGTGCACGTAGAATGAGACAAGGAGATTGCTTCTAGAGACCAACCTTTCATAATGGGAAGACCTCTATCTCAAAGTCCTCTCACTGCTAAGTAATCCCAATAGAAAATAAATAATTATCATCAAAATACTTGGAAAGACAACAATTAAAGACAATCAATCCAATCATAAGTTCATATTAGAATAGCTCATTTAAAAATCATGATTTCATAAACTTGTTCCTAAGACATTTACTTATCTAAGCATCTAAATCGTGATTTCTTTTCAAATAAGAAAACCTTTTCACGAATCATTGAAATTTTATATTTAAATACCTTTTAGTTATAAATTATCAATTTCATAAAATATGCATGAATTCATAATCAATTCATAAATTGAAGTTCACAAGTTCATATATAAAGTCAAGCATAAAACATAGGTCTATATGAAATCAATTAAAATACATGTACTTGAATCAAATCGTGCATAATAATATTAAATATTAAAAATTTATTATAATAAATTGGACCCATGAAGATCAACATGAAACCTACATAATTTGGGTGAAATTGAATTAGAGATTGATTTTCTTTTGGAAACCAATGGATGAAAGGAATCCATTGATGAATTCGCATGTACCTTGGGTAATCAAAGTCCTGAAAATGGAGGAAGAAACCTTGAAGCTTGATGAAATCCTAATTGAATTGAAGATCCTTGGAGAGAATTTGGAGAAGAAACCCCTGAAAGAATTTGTGAGTTTGAGTGGATGAGAGGGATTGAGCTAAGTTTGGAAGAGTAATAAAAATTATTGTGGTAGTTAAATGGTCAAAATGACATATTTTAGTGGTTAAATGGGTAGAAGAAATACATTAAAACACCCCTAATTAAAAATTGTCGGGCAATGTCTACGGTTGGGCCTACGGTCCATAAGAACTTATACGGACAATTTAGGTCAATCTTAAAACTGTTATTAGAGCTCATTAATTGGACATACTTCCATGAATTCGTCCTTTAGGCTGTGAATGTTTCTATGGTCCGTAGGACGTGAATGTTGAATTCAAAATCATTCCAAAATGTCAATAAGAGGTCATTTGATAGAGAGTATTAGCAAAAATAATATATCCAATATATATATACCTATATATATATATATACAGATATATATATATATACATATATATATATATAGTAACCCCGTGTTTGGTGCATTTTTCATGCTATGTATAATTAATGATTGCATTAGTTATACACTCTATTGTGTTTTGAGAAATATATTACTAATACCATGAATTTCTATGTATTAGTAATGCAAAGGATTTAATAAATGCATTAATATGGTTAAAGACTCAATTACACATCAAAAATACTTTTACATCTTTTCCACCATAATTGTAAAAGATACTTTTGTAAGTAAATATTTTTATACAATGCATACTATTTTTAATACACCAAAGCAAACAATGCATATGAAATAATCTATGTATAACTAATACAAGTATAATTAATACACACATTACTAATGCTTGCATTGCTAATACACTCTATTGGATATTATGTTTATACACTCTACCAAACGACCCGTAAGTCTCAACCACTTCGATGAGCATTTCCTACCACCCGTAGGAATAATTATGACCCATCGTATTCACTTGTGGAACATCTCAGAGAATTGAAATTTAAAAAAACTCAACTCAAGTTCCACTAGAGTATCCTACAAGCCGTATATGAGCTTCATACAAACTGTATCAATGTTAATTCTACAAATTTCTCTTTCCATTTTGACTTTTCATTTCCAAGATGTTACAATTTGATAACAACGGGGTTAAGGAGATCACAAATATAGAGTTCAATATAGAGTGAGGAAGCAAAAATAGAAATAAAATAGTAACTAGTAAAATATATGGAAAAGTTCAAAGAAAGGATCCAAGATTTTTTATATTATAAGATCTTGCCAAGATTATAACAACAAATAGATATATGGAAGAAATATAATACCTTTACTTGAGAAAATAAATCAAAACATTAGATTCTGATCTTGACCTCTTTATGAGTAAATAAAGATAATAATTAGTATAAACTAATCACCTTCTAAAGAATACCAAAAATAAATCACAAATATCACAACAGAAATTACTCTATACCTTAAACTATGAAACTAGTAAATGTTTAAAGACAAATTCTCAAAGAACAAGTCACAAAACTTCTAAAGAACTCTTTCAAATATTATTAATATCAATATCATGTGTTTTTTTATAAGATGACTGCTAGCCCTAATAAAATTCCAAAAGAATAATCTAGAACATAATAAATTACTTGGGTGAATCCTTTTTCAAAAATAATTACTTATTTTTAGTTATACTCTTTAATTATTACCATTTATATCAATATAAAATAATATTATATATTATTATAAGATTTTTTCTCGCTTGCTCTTTCTCTTTCTCTTTTTTCTCTGCCAACTTTTTTCTTTTTGCTGCTCTTCCTCTCTTACTTTCTTTTTACTGTTTTTTTTCTCTTTTTCTCGGCCATCTTTTTTTCTTTTTTCTTGCTCTTCTCCCTTACTTTCTTTTTATTTTTATTTTTATGTGTTTTGCTTTCTTTTTGCTATGCACACCCCTGGTTGCTTTTTTTTCTCTCTTTAATTTCTCTCTTTACTTTCTTTCGTAGAGTAGTCAATAATTCGTAGAATGAATAAAATTTATATTAATAATTAATTAATTAAACAAATAATTTAATCGTAATAAATGAAGACACATAATAAATTGAAAAATGAATTAAAGTTGAATTTAAAATGTATCACACACATATTAAAGTTGAATTAAAAATGTATTACACACAATGGTCTAGAACAAATTAAACTTGTATTAATAGTGAATTAAACAAGTAATCCAATAGTAATAAATAAATAAATAAATTACAAAATCAATGAAATTGCTTTAAAATTGTATTACACAATATTAAAGTTAAATTAAAAGAGAATTTAAAATGAATGAAAGTAACTAACAAAAGACAAGACAACAATCTATAAATTGAATTAAATTCATATTATCCATGATTAAAACTTATATCATATGTATCTTATAGATTATCTTTGCTTTTATCACAAAGATAATCAATTAATTTGACAAGTAATCTAATTGTAACAAATGAAACATAATAAATTGTCAAATGAATTAAACTTGAATAAAATTTTTTTTACACATATCAAGGTTGAATGAGAAGTAAATTAAATATGAATGCAAAATGTAGCAAACGAAAGAGCATTATGTGATTTGTAAATTGAATAAAACTTGTATCAATAATGAATTAAAGACGTAATTCAATCATAACAAATCAACCAATAAAATGCAAAATGAATCAACTTGTATTAAAAGTCCATACACAAACATTAAATTAAAGTTGAACTAAGCATAGATAAAAATTGTAATCAATAAAACACAAGACAATGATCTATAGAGTGAATTAAACTTATATCAATAATGAATTAAACAAGTAATCTAATATAACAAATAATAAACTACAAAATGAATTAAATTTGCATTAAAAATGTGTTACACAATATTTAAGTTGAATTAGAAGAGAAAAATAATAATAAATGAAAAACGTAACTAACGAAAGACAAGATAATAATCTATAGATTGAACTAACTTGTGTTGTTCATATATAAATTATAAACTTAACCAAAATCAATTATAATCTTAACCAAATCCTCTTAAAATTAGTAAAAATTATATAAATCACATAGTGTAAAACATAAATTACCTCCTATCCCTACTCTTTTTCAATTTACAAAAAATTCCTTATTTTAATAAGTTTCTGATACATAATAAAACACTTGGATACATTATATTGTATTCCATTCTATCCGTTTGTTGAGTAATTTTGGGGATCAGTTTGTTGAGTAATTAGGGGGATTAGAAACTGAAATTTGAATTAATGCCTACTTTTAATATGCCACGGTTATTATTCCCTTAAATAAAGTCATTAACTTGTGTGTTTTAAAAGCAGTATATTCCCTTAAAATTTGTCATTAGTGATATTCTCTTCTTTTAGGCAGAAACGATATTTTGATTTTGATTAGTGATCTTCCATTTTTTTTGGCAGAAACGATATTCAAAATTTCGTTGAAGGTAATTTTGTATCCGATTTCGTAATGAATATTACGTTATTGAAAAGGCATTCAGGAATATGGGAGAGTGAGGTTAACTACAATCAATACAAAAGTGATGGGATAGTGGTTGGAGAAAATATTTCATATATGAATTTGATCTCAGCAATTGCTACTGAATTAAATATTGATGAATTGAAAAAAAATATTATTATCCGATATATTGTAGAGGGCAATTCTTCTCTGATAATAATTAGGAAGGATATGTGTGTGAAGCTATTTATAGAAATAAAGAAGGAAGAGGTTGGATTCAGTATGTATCCGCTTTGCATCGATACAAATGATAGAAGTACAGAGGAGTTACAAATTTTTGATTCAAGCAGTGGTGTAATTATGTGTATTGAAGGTGGACAAAGAGACGCTAATGCTCTAAACGTTGTTGAATCAAACATTGGTGATTCTTGTTACATATCCGAGATGGAGAAAGAAAATTATATATCAGATACAAATATATCAAATGTGGAGACGAAACAATTGTACAAGGATAAAGCAACTCTTGTGGCTGTAATGATGAAATACAAAATTAAAACTAGCTTCAATTTTAGAGTCAAGCGGTCAGATACAAAAAGGTATGTAAGTATTTCATATTTGATTTTTGTTTACACACTTTAGATAATGAGATTTTTTGATAAATTTGGATTATTTACATGGTTAGTATATCACTTTGTGTTGGATAAATAAAAATTTATTTTGTATAAGTCAAAGATGGAATTATAATTGTGACAATTTAATTTATTTTGTATTATTATGTTGACGTGTCTGTGAATGTGTGTAGGAGGTAAAACACAGTGGACATTTATATAAATGTTAAAATAGTTTGTTTGACATGAATATAATATGAGGTATTATTGTAAATGTTACATACCTTTACATACATTGACTGTAAATATCAAAATTTTTGTATCAAATCTTAAAGTTTCAAGTATGCATTTTTACTACTAACTAACAAATTTATATTGGTATAATTGCAGCTATGTTTTAGAGTGTTATTCGGAGACTTGTTGTTGGAAATTAAAGGCGTCTGTTAAGAAAAACACTGATATATTCAAAGTAAGATACTTCAACAGTGAGCATACATGTCCATTAAGGGATAGGGTATTAAGTAAAGTACAAGCTACTGTTGGATTTATTGGTGCTTTTACAGCTCCAAAATTGGTAAATCATAAAAGAAAACATACTCCAAATGATATAATTGATGATGTTAGGGAAATCTATGGTGTTGAGATTTCTTACTAGCAAGCATGGCGTGCTAAAGAACGTGCACTAGAGTTGATAAGAGGCAATCCTGCAGATGCATATAAAAATATGCCAAGATACATACATATGTTGGAAATGGTGTATCCAAATTCTTATATACGGATGCATAAATCAGAAAAAAATGAATTTATGTATCTATTCATTGCTTTAAGGCCTTTGATGAGAGGGTTTGAGTTCTGTAGGCCTGTTGTTGTTGTTGTTGATGGTTCACATCTTAGTGGAGCTTACAAAGGGACGTTTGTATCCGCAAGTACTCTTGATGGGGCAGGTATGTCATGTTGCTGCATAATTATAATTTTTTTAAAATGATAATAATAACATTGTTTCAACATTATGTATCAAGTATATTAATATTGTGTGTTGACTATGTTAAGGTTGCATATTACCATTAGCTTACAAGATTGTCGATACGGAAAATGATTGTTCATGGACATGGTTCTTCACACAGTTCAAAAAT